TTGTACCTATCATTTTCATAAATAAATCAATAATTCGAGAACGGTTATAGTTAGGTACCTAGTACCTTATATGAAATCATATTTTTTTTACTGACCTATTCAAAAGTGTAACGAAATAAAGGGTGATCCATAAAAAACCACAACTTTGATAGGTCACATCTTTGAGCCACCCTGTAGACTTCAAAATAATTTCCTTCTGTAGTACTAATTAATACACATAAAATGAAATGGATAATTTTTGGAAAAAAATAGTGGTTTTTGAAAAATACAATAAACGGCCAAAACCGCATTTTCATTATGTTCTCATGCTTTGCGAACACTTGTTGAAGTGAATAAGCAGTTTTGGAGATCAGTTTATCCGATTTCGGAAACCAAAAGAAAACTTTTTGAAGAACGGCTGCAGTTAGAGGAACATTACCCATGAACTTGTTGAGATTGGCATATATTATATTTTTGGATGCTTTGGAAATTCTAGAATTAGCAAAGTGTGACATGAGACTAGTAACGAAAGTTCTATCATATCCTTTTCATTAAGAAACACTGTTAAAATTAGTGGAACCTCTCCTATCAAATTTTTGCTAATTCAACTGATTTATGAATTTAGAATAATTTTCTCGGATGTTTTCTTCTGATTTCGATAACTTGGTTGGTGAAAAATGTACGCCGGGAAAAGTTTTTCAGTTGAGGTATGTGGAAAAAATGTTTGTTTTGGGGTGTTCAGTTTAACCATTTTTTCTCTCGATGATTTTCATGTCATTGTCATTGTAAGTGTCATTGTATCGATTATTTCGTCTCGTTGAGGTATTTTAAAAAACAGTCCAGTTCTAAGTCTCTATCGTTCTGCTTTCCAGCAAATATGGACATGTTGTGCGTCCCATCTAAAACTTTTTAATGTTTGTAATGTAATGTAATTTTGTTTTATAAATCTGAGAATTGATAACAGATAACAGAATCGTCACTACGACTACTCTCTTTGTGATACATGATTTTAAAGGGAATTAATTTGGAAACAAGCCTGTGTAATGCAACTGAGAATCGTCAAAGTTATGTGAAAATTTCAGTGAAAAATCAGTTACGTACAACGTTATACAAAAGGTTCGAAATGTAATCCATTCCATAGAAGAGTATAGGCGATATTCGAAATGTATACGCATATTTCTCATCATTTCTGAAGTTACTACATAACACTCATCTACAATTCTCTGCCTACATTGGACCAAACTGAATGAAAAACACTATGGATTTCATATATTAACATGAAAAAAGCTAATGATGGCGAATCAGTTAATCTCGTAGGTCACTCTATCGATCGTCGCCTTCCAAACAGCTTCTTTGCGAAATATTCATTAAAGAAATGACAAGCCAGTCTCGAATATACCTACACAGTAGGTTGAATGGACTGACGCCTATCAGAAAACAACTACTCCCTCAGTTCCGTCTGATCATATGTGGAGAAAGCAGAGAAAGCGGTGATGACTGTTGCCATAATCTTCCAAAGGTGGTGTGGTATAATTATTAAATCCAGCTGCACAGGCAGTCTCCTAGAACATACCTGTTTTTTTAGTAAACTTGAAAAACAGAGCCCAAATAGTGCTGTACTGACCCACCATAGGTGTCGTCAGGCTGCGTTGTGTTTGAGCTCTGGTTTTCAACTTGTTTCCTTGCAGTAAAAGCTGCAGTGAAAGACAGAGGAGAAATATCGTCGGCGGTCGATGTTGAAGCTTGGTTTTGCAACTGTCCGCCTTGGGGAGCCTTGTTCATCTTTGATATCTGAGGATTGAGTTCTCCGTCGATCCCATAGATGGCGTCTTCGTAATGGGAGATTTCATCGCCCCTATTTACTCAGGGTTGTTCTTTAAGGGCAGTTGAGTCCAGCAATGATTTTGTGGTCCAGTCTAGCACCAGTGACAAAATCTATGGCGGGTCGAAACAGCGCTGTCTGATGTTGAATCATAAATGCTTTGTGTTTGGGCTCCGATGTTCAAATTGTTGCCTGGCAGTGAAAGCTGCAGTGGAAGACAGAAGACGAATCTCGTCGGCCGTCGATGTCAAAGCTTGGTTTTGTAACTGACCGGCTTGGGGAGCCTTGTTTATCTTTAATATCCGAGGATTGAGTTATCTGTCAGATATCATCTATTTATCTAAGCAAACTAATTCGGTCAGTCCCCAAATTGAAAAGAAGACATAATGGGAAAGGAGTTGTTACAGAATCTGTGGGTTCTACCAAATAGTTTTATAGTTATGTGTTTTATTTTGATTTTTGTTTTCCAATCCCACGTCTCGTGAAATAATTCGGGAGATTATCTCTCCTTAGTTAAGATCCTGAAACCGCAATTGATGAATAGAAAGAAATAATAAGTGGAAATGAACATATGGTAATTGTCTTGTAAGTCTTAATTTTTACCGTCATTTCCGCACTTGCAATAATATTCAATGCGACTCACTCAAAGAATATCAAAACTTCAAATGGACAGACCTCTTCAACTTGACTTATTCATTGACCGAGATTTTACTAACTAAATCAATTTGCAGTTGATGCTCAAACGGTTCGTGCAACTAAGGAATATGGCATCATCTGTGATTGGTCAAGTTAAAGATGTGGATATCGACCCAAATGGTGTTTTCAAGTACATCCTGATCAAAATAACTAGTCCGAATGCTGAGGGAAAGTTGGAAGATAAATTGATAGTGAGGGGCTATGCTGAGTGTCCATACCACGGTGAGTCATATAATTTAAAATTATATCAGAACATTCAACAATAACTTCATTGTGAAAATAATTACGACGGAATTTTTTAGACACTATTGTCATGTTCATGCAATACACCATGTATCCATAAATCATTATTTTTTAAATATTGAATTATTTTATTATCCGCTTTATTTAATTGTTCACTTGTGTATATGATATGAGATTCAATATCACCTTAACTAAACAACGAGGCCTAATGCATGGGCGCAATGATCACGCTTGCAATCTGCTCAGTAAACATTTCAATATGTACACTTGAGTCTCATTGTCATTTTGAAAATGATGGACAGCATCACAATGACGTTTCCATGATACGTATTTGTTGGAGCAATAATCCTAATTTCCAGCGTTGTATAAACACGAACAATCTGAACCATATATCACATCTTTTTGAGAACGTATGAAATTTGATGAATATTTTAAATCTGACGAATGGCGAATCCATAATACATCCGGAGGACAGGTCTTTATTTTCGGCTCTGAACTTACACAATCTAAATCATATTTATGCCTCAGTGATGATGCAAATTGTGATGAATATTTTGGTATTGTGGAATATTGACAATATAAAAAATATGCAAAGAAAAAAATGTATTAATTTAGAGATACCAATTATCACTCATATGTTGATAATTATATATTGGCAATTCGAACAACCCGATAAGGTTTGTTAAGTTATTTTTTGTTTATAAAAACGACAAAAAATGTCAGTACGACAATGAACATCATTGTTCAGTTAGAAAATTCTCATTTAGTTTTTGGTTTTACTAGTAGAAAGGTACCACGTCAACAATCTCTAAAATAGTCAACTCTCGTCCATTTAAAGAAAAATGTGAAGCGATTTTTATTTACGGTGCGACGCGTAACTTTCACGAGACCGAAAGGATTTTCAAAGAACATTTTCCGAATCGTCTTATCTGTAGAAAATATTTGAGGGAACTTGTATCCAAATTCACAACTACCGGTAGTGTACATAACAAAAAGCCCCCAGGTCATCCGTCCAGTCCGGGATAACAGCAAGTGCATATAATTGGTGGGATTGTAGTAAATCCTGAACAGTCGACTTATTCCGTCGCGAATGTTTGTGACGTGTCTCCTTCTACTGTGTGGAGACTGTTGAAATGTTACACAAATTAACTGAAGATAACCCTGATCGAGGAACAGAATGCAGAATCATGACGGAAATCATTGCAAGGTATCCTACCTATCTCCACAATATTTGTTTTAGTGACAAATGGTGACAAATGTTCAGAGCAATGTTCAGAGACAAAACTGCCGTTACCAACCCTCACGTTTTCCAGGTAGCACATACCCAATATCCAGAAAAAATTAACGTTTGGGCAGGAGTATTGGGAAATCATATTATGGAACCTCTATTTATTGATCAAAATTTAACAGGGGAACTGTATTTGAATATGCTGGGAACTACTGTTGACCCTCTCATCACTGGAATCGTCGAAGCTAATCCTAATAAATTCAATATGGATATTGTATTCCAACAAGATGGAGCACCGCCACATTACTCCAGACCAGTAAGAAACTATTTGGATACTACTTTCCTCGTTCGCTGGATTGGCCGTCGAGGTCCTACAGAATGGTCAGCCCGCTCGCCAGATTTCACATAGGCTGTTCATATGTCAAGAAGCTCAAGGCAACCATTTCGAGCATCTTCTGCACTGACCTCAAGCTTATTACCTCATATTATGTAGTTAAATGTCAATGTATTCAGGCAATTATTAAAAATCCGCCATTTTGTAGTAGTTGAAGATATTGACATTATATTCTAGAGTTGTGAAGCATTTGTCAGGAGCTTCAAAATGATGTATCACAAAAGCCCCCTTTCCATTTAATTGTTTTCCCAGATGGCGCCCAGTCGCCACCTTGAGAGATTCATCTGTCAATTTCACTTCAAAATAAAGTATTCATGCATTAATTTCATTATTCCAAATTTCAATTTTTTGAGTTGACCCGTTCAAAAAATAAAAGGCGAGGGGGACATTAAAGACATGCACTGTATATTGGGCTTGTCCCAAGATAAATGTATTATGGAAAGTCATTATGATGCTGCCCATAATTTTCAAACGAAAAATAGTTCTGTTTTTCATTTGACACGTATACAGTTGTCGGTCAATGTATATACAGTTGACCGAGTAGGCAAATACCTACATGAGAACTTGCTTTTACAAAATCTGAAAGTCCAGGCAATGAAGTCCCGGGCAACAACTAGTTTAAAATAAAAACACTGCCATCGTATTTTCTTTTCATTTATATAATTAAGCGAATAATAGACATATTACAAAAGTATTTACAAAGGCCTTAGGTTAATTTCTATTCTAGACTTACTGTATTCATACTACTAGGCATAAAATCTAGGGAATTTCTTTAGATTTCATGTACTCACAACTTACAAATGATTTTTATTCTATATACAAATTTCAGTCATCTTCAAATTTGAATACATCAGTACATTAACGGGTGATATACATTACAATAAGAAATTAAAGGTGCTTCGTATTGTTAAAATATATATTGGAACCATACATTTATATCTGATATGTTCCCAAAGTTATATATCTTTATTGGAATTGGTGCTACAAAAATATTGATTCGATATTATATGAACTACGCTAACATAAGTATATCAATTGAGATGGAGAGTCACAAATTGTACTTTCTGCATGTTTCACTACGAAAAGGATTGCTTCATACTCAGTGTGTTACCCAGTATGGACATTTTGATCATTGTCGAGTTATTTGATTTATCCATCAACTATTTGAAATTAATCATCACATAGTACAAGTTGAATTTATTCAATTCCATTTTCTTCTCCACCTCGAAGGTACCAAATGATTCTATTTATCAGTTTTGGCGAGTATTTTCCAGTTTCTAAAGTTTTCGCAATAGACGTTATATATATCTTATATTCAAATAATAAATCATCAAGAAATTATTTTCCACTTCCCAGCTCCATAAGTTGTCACAACTTCCTTGAGTCCATGATTCCAAGATGGGTGTATTTATTTAATAAATACGTGTTAGTAGATATGGTACAAATTTTTTCTCACGTCAAAAATTAAGTTGAAAATCACACAGAATCATAATTACACGATAGACTGAATAATTTTGGTTCGGTGATTTGAAGGTTTTACAAAATTTTATATTTCAATTAAAACAATCCGGGCTAGTAGGCCATGATCGAATGGAATCTAAAGCCGTTACTGCGGCAAGCATCATCGGTGGTATGTGCGTTGACATACTTCGAAGTCTCAGCGACGACTGACTGGTGAGCTACGTGTTCACTCGTATCTACAATACAAGAGAGTGCGATGGTGGAGGGTGGGATGTCAGGTTGTCCATGCAAATGCTCTCTTCTGATTGGTCCGCACTTTCGTTGGGTCGTTCTGATTGGTCCGCACTTTTATTAGGTTGTTCTGATTCGTCCACGTTTCTAGCCTTCTTGAGTACTGCAAACGACGTTTTGTTGATCCGTATACCATCTTGTTTTCTGTTGAAATTTTTGGCATATTGAATAGCTTTCAATGTTCGCCCTATAATGACGTGCGCAGTAATGCGTTGGATTAGACAGGACAGATTTTTTTTTTGTAATTAATTACGTGGTCTGTTTCTACATGTTCTGCAATTACGGATTTCTCCGGTTGCTTGAGGCGGCAGCTACACAGAGGCCCCCTCTTGTGTCTTTAGTCGATCTGATAGTAGTGCGTAGTTGATTAGTTGGCTTGTAAATCGTCTTAATGTTGTGACTTTCAAACAGTTTTCCAACGCGATCCGTGACTTTGTTTATGCAAGGCAAAAAGATTGTGGATACCACAAGTTGGAGTATTTATTTTTCTAGGATGTAGAGCACGTTCGATTCTTTGCACTGTAATGGACCTCCCCCACCATCCCCACGGAAATTATAAATACAAGTGAACACGTAGCTCGTCAGCTAGTCAGTCTCTGAGACTTCGATATATAACCTTCGTCTTCGCAGTTACCGCACATACCATTGATGATGTCTGCTGCAGTAGCAAATGTTTGGTACTTCAGGTTCCTTTCGACCACGGCCCACCAGTTAGAAATTCGAACAGCACTGTCCCATATATGAAGTATATGTTATATATTTTTGCCTATTCGAACTATAAATTAGAAATAAGTTGGGATTCACTTTCACCTAAACAACTGGAGTCGCATCTTGATAGTATTAACTAAGTTGGCGAAACATGCATCGCACACTTTCTGGTGATATATGTGATAAAATTATTCCTTATCAATTATGGGTTAGACTTACACCTTGTTGGTGGTTATAGTTACCACCTATTTTCCTTATTTAGTGTAGCATGGAGACTTGAATAAATCACATTCTTCGGAAGGAAATATCAGCAATTGTAGTTGATGTTGACATATTCTGTTAAAAAATGTATTGAACGGACTGTGTGATCCAAACAATGAGTTTAGGTTAGGGATCATGATGAATTTTTTCTGAAGACATAGATATGGTGATGTTGAATTATTGACATCAATATTAACTGCTTGAAAAAAACTATAAATCTCTAAATAATTTTATCTCACCAGATCATCTGTATTGATAGCAGGCTACCACCCAGAGACCCCACTTGTAAGTTCTGCAGTCAGCTATGATGTTTATTTAATATCCTAAATAATATTTAATTACTAACAGTTTCGTTAATGTTATGAAGTACTCCTCTTTCTCAAGCAACACCATGCGCGCTGTAGGCTGAATCCCTTGTGTTTACATTCTTTTTCTTCCATTGGTAGTCCGTTGACACATTCCTCCCGTTTCGTAATTTCTTCAGAAGTATCAACTCTATTAACAGTCATGATTTCATCGAACATTTCTAGTTGAGGCTTGATCCCAAGCTTTCTAGGTTGGTCTTTTTCTTGTTGAATTTCACATTGCTCCACATTAAGTTCGCCTCTGGGTTCTTTGTTTATTTCTACTATGACCTGAAAACAAAATGAGTGAAGAGAATAATTCAATAATATATACTCGTATACTCATAAATTTTTTAAGTATAAAACACAAGCACTACAGGAAAATCCCCAAGGCGCTCTAAGAGCGATGCCTGTGCGAAAGTAGTGATTCATTTCATTGGATTGGACTTCCATTGTCTAATATGATATATGTAAATTGATTTGAAATCCCTGAAAGAATCTATAAAAAATTAAAAAGATTAGCTGAAAAATGACAATTATATTAGGCAAAAAAAGTGCTTCGGGTGATCACCCGAAGACGGTTGTGGATACTAACATTTGAAACGTCGTGAAGTAACTTGGCTTGGAATCTTTTAATTTTTGATTTTCATTTCTTGGTAATAATTTTTAATATTCATCTCGTGTTAATAGTTCAATTTTTTGAGGTTTTGATTGTTGCTTGTATTTCATTACATTGTAATTTTTTTTTTGCTTAATATAATTGTTATCTTTCAGCTTATATTTTTAATTTTTTATAGAATCTTTCAGGGATTTCAAATCAAATTATATCATATCAGACAATGGAAGTCCAAACCAATGAAATGCACTACGAAACATCTCCAAACAAAAGTAGTGATTCACTTTCGATTTGAATCGCTGGAGATTAAATCCATTTGGAAAAACGTTCTCAGGAAGTTTATTCCACATGAACGCAGTTTTTCAAATGAAAGAGTTCTTGATCAGTGAAGTTCGAGGTGTACTGAGTTGAACCTCAAAATGATGAGTGCTATACAAAACTAAAATGAATTCATAGCAGTATTTAACCTATGAGGTGGAAAAATCGTTATAAATAACTTGTTCAAATAGTTTTCATTTTGGGTACTGAAAAACTTGTTCGGAAATAACGAAAAAAACAGTTTTTAAATGTTGTTGGGTTCCTTTCAGGTAGCCTTACCAAAATTTCAGAGATTGTAGAACTTGAGATGGCCGTTTTGCCGGATTTTGAAATCTGATTCCAAATAAAACTTCGCCAGATATAAGTGAAAACTCAAAATGGTGGAAATTTCAAATATTTTTCCGCTCGCCAGATTCACATCTTCAGAGCTGGAATGAATGTCTTTTAATGATCTTTACTCGCAAAAAAATGTACAGAAAAATATTTATCATCAGTATTGGATTAAAATTGACTAAGATATGGAACTTTTTTGCGCGCCGCGATTTTGAAATATTTTTTCAGCTCTGAGCTGATTTCTGCACTCTTGAGCACTCCCTGGCTTCACAGCGCTCCAAAAAGTTCAACGCTCATATTTATCTTGTGATGCACTGTTTGGAACCTTTTATGTAGTAATGAATATTACATGTTTCAATCACCAAATGATCATCTTCAAGAGAAAGATTGAAGTTTAATCTTCCTCTTGAAGATGATCACTTGGTGTTTGAAACACGTGTCGAGGTGTTGTAAATAACGGTTTGCTGTTGGGATAAAACTCCAGTAATATTCATGTTTATCGTTTGAAAATCATTTTTTATTTTTCAAATAATCTCATGGAATTCTTATTTCACTAGAAAAATATATCTGGACTCCTGATATGACTGAAACATTTTTTCAAATGTGTATTTTTGCTAGCTATAAGAAGATATTGATTGCAAATTGATATCTTGAATATTCTCAAAGTTGTGTAACATGTAACATATTTTTTGGTAGCTATTTTGGAGTGAAAAAATAAAAAAGCGAAGAAAATTCTAGGTACATTTTACTCGTTATTTGTGAACATTCGTGCTGTAGATGTGAATTTAGAACATTCGCATTTATAAAAGTTCTACAGTTCCTGAGATTTTAGTAAGGCTACATACAATCAGTATGAAAAACTGTGTTTTCGTTCTATTCGAACATTTTTCCATCGAAAGGGGTATACCAGTACTTTTCAAGAGGGGTCCATTTTTGATTAAAGAAGCTTTTTGACTTTCTACTTCTGAGTGAACTGAGTGCTTCATCTTGTAATGTTATTCAGAAAAGCGCTGATGGGGCAAGTGTTTCATTCCGAATTTTCGAAGTCCGCCATCGTTACTCTTCCATGGTATGTTACATGGAGTAGCGTTCCTATGAGATTCCATCACATAACGAATGTTTGGAATACAATATGAATAGAAGAAATTTATTTTCGTATAATTCAATATTCATATGACACTAATTGTTTTGAAAGTACTTCAACGTAATTCAATGTTTATGTGAAAGTACTTGTTTCGGGAAGGCTTTTTATTTCAGTTTGTTGAAACTGAAAGTAATTTCTATGCATTAATGTGAACCAAATCTTGTGAACTTAAGTTTATCACTTTGACAGTAACCAAAACGTTGAATAAATTCTTGTTGAACCTTGTTTATGGTTTTTTGAGAAATATTGTTCATTTCTGTTCGAATTCTCACTTTTAATTCTTGAATATTTGCTGGTTTCGTTTTATAACAAAATTCTTCGGATGACCCCACATAAAGTAATCCATCGGATTTAAGTCTGGGGACCTCGCTGGGCATTCAACATTTGCAGCATAATGTGGAGGCGCACCATCCTGCTGAAACCATAAACTTTCATCAAAACTTCCAGGATTATTTCTACTGGGGAATGAATTAATTAAAGTAGGTACAAGATATCCCCTTAAAAACTGAAGGTATGTTGGCCCGTCTAAAGTACCATCGAAAAAGTAGGGTCCGATGATCCTGTTTCTTACAATGCCAGCCCATACATTTACCATTTGCGGGTATTGGTATGATGCTCACGCATCCAGTGGGGGTTTTCTTTGGCCCAGTAACTACAATTCTGACAATTGACCCCACCATTTAATGTTAAAGTGGCTTCATCAGAAAAAATTATATTTTTTACGAGGAGACGGTCTCGATGACAGTTATTCATCATAGCTTCACAAAATTCTATTCTTCTATCTGAATCATCCTCGTTTAATTGCTATTGAAGTTCGATTGTAAAGGGATGCCATTTTACCAATTTCAGTATTTTGTGTACAGTTGTTTTACTGACATCGAAATCACGACTAACCTTACGAAAAGCAAGTAGAACATCTAGTTTTGTCGTTTGTTTGAAGGTGGTTGACAATGTTCCGTGGTCTATTTCATCAGTTCGGACTTCCATTGTCTAATATAATATAAATCGATTTGAAATTACTGAAAAAATATTAAAAAGAATAACCGAAAATAACAATTTTATTTGAACAGAAAAACTGAAATTACAAAGAAATAACATAAAACTAAACAACAACCAAAAAACAGAAAATTGAAATCTTAATAAAAGCTGAAAATTAAAAATGATTATTAACAAAAAATTAAAAATAGGAATAAAAATCAAAAGATTCCAAACCAAGTTATATCACGACCTTTCGATTGTTGGTATCCACAATCGTCTTCGGGCGATAACTGGTTTTGTATCATTATTTACAGAAGGACGACCTGATTTGCGTGCATTTTCAACTGTACCAGTTTCTCGAAATTTCTTTTCCATCTTAATCTTACTTACTGCTGACTGGGTTATGCGTCTTTCTGGATATATTTCATTAAATAAATTACACACTTCCATCTGAGTTCGCGATCTGTCTCCATAGCCAATCATCATTAGTATTTCAATTCCTTGCTTTACACTTAAATTCATCACTACTACAAATTAATTCGAAGCAATACTACAGAAAATTCATGAATTAATACAACAACTACTTCTCATACTTTGCGGACACACTGTATAGTGTCAATGAACACACTCTTCGACGATGGTTCGCGAAATTTTTTTCCGAAGATTTAATCCTCGAAGAGAACCCTGAAGTGGTCGACCTACAGTAATTCCACATAGCGGAAGAACTGGGCGTCAGCTCCCATGCGTTTTTTGATGCTTTAAAATGCAATGGAAAGGTCAAAAGTGGTTGCCCCAAAAATTGTGTGAGCACCAGTCGGAGTTGGTCAATAGAAGAGATCCGATCCTGCTCCACGACAAAGCCCGTCCGCACGTTTCACAAATCACCGTCCGAAAATTACACGAATTGAAGGTGCAAGTTTTGCTTCACCCACGATACTCCCCAGACCTTCCCTAACCAGGACCAGGTGAAAACGGCTTTCGTCGACTCCATCGAATCCCGAGCACACAATTTTTATGCTGACAGAATTAATCGACGTCGTTACGTTGGCAAATAAGCGCCATTCAAATGGCGCTTATTTCGATTGAGTTGAATTAGTATTCACTGAGATATTACAGTTTAAATTAGATTTATAAAATCGGACAAAACCTCTGAAACAACCAACCAAAGAATATTGACAGCAACACGACGTATTCTCAAAGAGGTATTAACAAGACCGCTTGGTTCATTATGAGCTACATCGAAAAACGCTCTTATGCGTTACATGTGTTATTTTATTCAATCATGAAGCGTTTTGTAAACTTTAAAGGCATGTATTTTTAAGTAGATTGATTTTTGTTTGTAAGAAACCAATAAGAATATGTCGTTGTGATGGATGAAAATAATTCAATAGAAATTTTGTTACAATTTCGAAAGAAACCCGTTTCAATTGAATCTTTTCATTAAGTATTTTACCACTTGCGTATAAACAAACTATATATTCAAATAAAAAAATCATATTCGACAGATATTTGACATATAGGCATAGTTTAGTATACATATGATTGAATCGATTTAAAACTCATTTTGAAATCTTCAAATAATTTTTTTTGCTAGATTTACTATTCATATTGAAAAAAACCCTTATAGTGGTTGGCAAGGAATTGAAATTTTTTTTAAATTAGCTATCACACGCACCCTCGTTCTATTTGAATATTGTAAAGGGGGTGCTATCACCTCTTTCATGTTGAAGGGGGAGGTACGAAATTGTACTCGACCAATTTTTGTTTGGAATTGAAAATTTGCGTGTTTTGAGGATTTAACTTATGAATAAGTAAATCACGTATATAATTGATTTATTCCTCACATGTGGACTCCGCTTTGTTCAAAGAAATCTAAACATTTCTGGGTAACCCGTATTATCAACTGGATATGTGGATGAAAACTCACTTTTTCCTCCTTATCTCACGTGCCGTCTTTTTCCGGTTTAACGGGGTCCGGACATTGCATCGGAGCAGTCGATTTCAATTTCAATTGCATGCTAGGCCGTATAACCTTCATCAAGGTTTCCGTTTGATCTGTGTCGGAACACGTATGCATTAGGGTGAAGGGCAATTTCAGGTTGACTTCTCCTCCCATCATGCTGACCACCAGTTTCACTTTGACGTAGTACGAGACGTAAATGGCGAAAACGTTTCGATCGTCCGGATTATGGAACTGAAACAATAAATAATATTGAGACGTAAATCTGTTCTAAAGTTACAGCTATCGACGGGAGAATTTGGCGTCGGGCTGTGTTCATAGACAAAGTTCAGCTCCAGCTGAAATCCAACATGTTGAATAAATTGAGGGAGTGTCACAAAATATAGAATAAAACGGAACACGTTAACATATTCCAGTGTAGGGAAATAATAAACAGAAAACGAATACATACGTACGGTTTGTTGTCCAACAAGGATTTTCCAACGTTTCAGCGACAAAACCTTTTATAACATATAAAATGTGTAATGTAATAAACTAATAGGTGTGATTTAATGTGAAGTTTATTTTCTTTTTCTTAGAGCTGGTACATGAGAGCTTGTACTCAAAAATGGTGGTTTCTCTAATAGTATTATTTATGATATTATGGTTGTCCTTTCTATTCTTCTGGATAACATAGTTGCTCACGTCCACCGTTCTCTTTTATAATCAAATACAAGCAAAAAACTCTCTTAGAATCCAAGTTTCCATAAACATCGATTTCTGTAACTTGTTAGTCACCATATATNAAAGTACACTGATTCAAATGGCGCTTATTTCGATTGAGTTGAATTAGTATTCACTGAGATATTACAGTTTAAATTAGATTTATAAAATCGGACAAAACCTCTGAAACAACCAACCAAAGAATATTGACAGCAACACGACGTATTCTCAAAGAGGTATTAACAAGGCCGCTTGGTTCATTATGAGCTATATCGAAAAACGCTCTTATGCGTTACATGTGTTATTTTATTCAATCATGAAGCGTTTTGTAAACTTTAAAGGCATGTATTGTTTTTAAGTAGATAGATTTTTGTTTGTAAGAAACAAATAAGAATAGGTATGTCGTTGTGATGGATGAAAATAATTCAATAGAAATTTTGTTACAATTTCGAAAGAAACCCGTTTCAATTGAATCTTTTCATTAAGTATTTTACCACTTGCGTATAAACAAACTATATATTCAAATAAAAAAATCATATTCGACAGATATTTGACATATAGGCATAGTTTAGTATACATATGATTGAATCGATTTAAAACTCATTTTGAAATCTTCAAATAATTTTTTTTTGCTAGATTTACTATTCAAATTGAAAAAAAAACCTTATAGTGGTTGGCAAGGAATTGAAAATTCTTTTAAATTAGCTATCACACGCACCCTCGTTCTATTTGAATATTGTAAAGGGGGTGCTATCACCTCTTTCATGTTGAAGGGGGAGGTACAATTTTTGTTTAGAATTGAAAATTTGCGTGTTTTGAGGATTTAACTTATGAATAAGTAAATCACGTATATAATTGATTTATTCCTCACATGTGGACTCCGCTTTGTTCAAAGAAATCTAAACATTTCTGGGTAACCCGTATTATCAACTGGATATGTGGATGAAAACTCACTTTTTCCTCCTTATCTCACGTGCCGTCTTTTTCCGGTTTAACGGGGTCCGGACATTGCATCGGAGCAGTCGATTTCAATTTCAATTGCATGCTAGGCCGTATAACCTTCATCAAGGTTTCCGTTTGATCTGTGTCGGAACACGTATGCATTAGGGTGAAGGGCAATTTCAGGTTGACTTCTCCTCCCATCATGCTGACCACCAGTTTCACTTTGACGTAGTACGAGACGTAAATGGCGAAAACGTTTCGATCGTCCGGATTATGGAACTGAAACAATAAATAATATTGAGACGTAAATCTGTTCTAAAGTTACAGCTATCGACGGGAGTTCAGCTCCAGCTGAAATCCAACATGTTGTTGAATAAATTGAGGGAGTGTCACAAAATATAGAATAAAACGGAACACGTTAACATATTTCAGTGTAGGGAAATATTAAACAGAAAACGGTTTGTACGTACGGTTTGTTGACCGTCACCCTTTTGAGGATTTTCCAACGTTTCAGCGACAAAAGCTTTTATAACATATAAAATGTGTAATGTAATAAACTAATAGGTGTGATTTAATGTGAAGTTTTTTTTTCTTGGAGCTGGTACATGAGAGCTGGTACTCAAAAATGGTGGTGTTTCTCTAATACCCAATGATTACTTACCCCACGGTGTGGGGAGCGGTCGTTGGTTGATAATGCTGGCGCGTCCTCCCAAAAGTATCGGGGCTTCGGGGGATAGGGCTTGACTAGCGCATACTACGGTAAAAACAAATTAAAAGTGTATTAGAACAATAGATAAAAATAGAAAAGAAAATAAATATGATAAATCACTGAAGCTTGAAGCTTGTGTGTGATAATACTTTATTAATAATAAACTAATACCTATACAATAATGATCATAAAGGAAGAAATGCATGTGCAAACATAATAATTCACTAATATAAGTGCGTTTAGGAAGAGTCTTTTTTAGTTATATTGGTCTAGTCTAGTCCGGTTTAGTTTGACATATTCGAGTATTGGGTTTCTGCGTAATTCGAGTGAAGATAAGTGTATAGTTTTTTATATGGGTAATAATATTTGGGTAATATGGGTAATACACTGGTCACAGTGTATTACAAACATTTCAAGTCGATGAGAGCATTAAAAAGTTTTCTCTCGGTGGTTGTTATCCACATTTTAACATGATGCTTGAATTTATGTATGACTGTATGAGGAAATTATTTAATCCTAGCGATCCTGATCTGATCCTATTGTCACCGATTCTTGATAAGTGTAGAAAGTTCAAAATACATCTGTCCCTTTGAAGTTATTCGAAATCGAGTCCAAAGGAGTCGGTTACAAACAAGCAAACATACAAGTGAAGTTAATATAAGCAAAAAGATTCAGCAGTTTATGTCTTCAATGAATGTTCATATAAAGTATGTAATATTTTTCACTTTTACCCACTTCGTATTTAACAAACTAGCGGTGTTATGGGTTTTATGATCATGGTTCATTACAAATGAAATAGTCATGGCGATTCAGCAAAAAAATAACCAAAAAAACAACAGCCAAATAGAAACCTGTTCAAAACAGTGAGTTATGATGGCAATTATCTAATTTTTACTTTCTAATTTAGAATGTATGTAAGATGTATTAAAGCGCTACATAATACGTGTTTTTCACCTCATCTGTAACTCTTACAATTTTCTAGATCCCCATGTTTTCACTCGATTTTCACTCGCCTGGTATAAATTCCATTCAGTCAATATTATTATGATGTCTGACTTTAATTCTTTTTTGAAAATGTTAGCCTTGGATATGATCTGACTAAAATTACTCAAAACTATTGAAATCCCTTCAAAGACATGATGGAACGACTTAGCTGAAGGCCTTATCGCATATTTCTATTCACAGTCACGTTTATTTGACAAAGGTGTCTTTCCATTTTCAGTCACCGGATGTTTCAGCCGCTTGGTTGTAGATTATCTCTCAACATGAAACTGAAACTTTATAGAATAGACACTTGAGCTCGGTTTTTCTCATAACCCAACCATATATATTCCGTTACAGATTGATTCTGCCACGTTTTATGGTTCACTGGAAAATAAGCTAGATTCATCACGTTTTTCTTGGAATGGGTCATGATGTTAAGTGACGCATTCTAGGTGTAAAAATATAATGAAATTTACGTGAGACACACACAATACGGTTGGGACAACGAAATAATGTACATGGGTCAATTTGAAATCAATTTTATAAATTTCTTCAGCACCATTTTGATTATTCTATAAAAGCATTATATTTCATATTCCGTTTTCGAACTCCAATATCCGGCAGTTTGAATATTCTAGTATTTCACTAAACAAAACCATTTTCAATAGACATGGTGAATTTGCCAAAATGTTACTGTGCCCGGCTAATGATTGAAAGGTCTTCGGCTCAACCTCGATCACATATTTTTCAAGAGATAATTTTTCTAGTTGAAGTTGGCCTGATTCTGCAACGTTAAATGGCTGACGGACTTCCACATTGCCACTTTTTCCCTGCTACATAATCACAGTTTTATTTTTGTTTTTCTTTTCTTTTTCTTCTTATTTGTTTCCTTTTCAGGGTTAAGTGGAAGAACATTTTTCGTGATGTATTTCATTACGGACGATGAACTTCGCTCTTTATTTCAATAGTAAGTTGAATATACAAGTTATGTTGTTTTTTGTTTTGATTATAAAATGATAAAGGCGATATTATTATTATTTGCTATCCGACGTTTCGTATTCCGACCACCATCATCAACTTTTTTTTATGGGCGCTACATTGGATTCTTTCTGTTTTGATAGAACCAGATTCTACCTTTTCAATGATGGATCATAAGTTATCATTCTTTTTCGAAAAATTAATTCTTATCATAATAGGCTTTGACTTTGATGTTTCTGAATTTGACTTTCAATTTGTTACATTCAATGACATTTTGTTATTGTACAAGTCATTGAAGTTTTGGCGCAAAATGGCTTTCAAGAATGAAAAAAAGAGATATGATACAAATTTATTACAAATACAATAAAAACAGTGTTAGGACATCGGAAATGTATTTAAACTTGTATCCCGGAAGACGACAACCACATTGAACTATGTTCAAGTTATAGGATCAAAATCTCACCGAGTTTGGTGAGTTTGATAAATGAGGTGTGTACGAGGTAAATGATGATAACTTATGATACATCATTGAAAAGGTTAAATCTGGTTCTATTCAAAACAGAAAGAATACAATGTAGCACCCATAAGAAAAAATAAAATTGATGATGGTGGCCGGAAGACGAAACGTCGGATATCAAATCTGAAAACACCATTATGTAGCAGGGAAAAAGTGGCAACGTGAAAGTGTCATTTATTTCCAAACTGTTCGTTAAATAAAGCCAGAAAAGTATAAACCGCAACTTTGCCCCAATTTAACCATCTTCGTATCTCACTTAGTTTCCGAGATCCCAATGGTGAGAATAGAATTTGAAAAACCCTGTATACCAAAAACATTTCATTTATTCATTTTATTGATAAGCATGTGTATTCTTGTTTAATTTGAAAGGTACTCATTCTCCACATATCATGTATGTTATCGGTTCCGACTCCCATTGTCTAAAAAAAGGAAAAACATGTAGGAACTATCAAAAATACCAAGATCCAAGTATTCATCTGAAAATGGGAAAGTATATCAAAATATGATAATGATAATCATAAGTGATCATGAAATTCAATAGTATATACATGCTAATTTATTAAGAATACACATTTTTGTGATAATAATAAAATAATCAATGTTGAGGAAACACTATTAGGTGCTAATTAAGTGCTAAACGGTGAGGATCGTGAAATTTCCTAATTAATAAACAAAAGCTTCCAATTTCGCTAAACAACAGATCTAAGAATCAGGTATCTCGAAAACGAGGACGAATGCTCTATCAGGTATAAACTAAGCGTGGTAATAAAGTGCTAATTAGGTGCTTGCAAGAAATTAAGATGAAAACGACCGCCAATAAGCGAAAAAAAAATTCGAGATACCTGATTTGAGAAAAAAAATTAACAATATGCAATAAAGTCTTGAGATACTCGTAAACTAATACATAGACAATCAAACAATCAAAATAAAGTGCTAATTGAGTGCTCACTAGATATTCATAGTAAAACTAGATTATTTAATGCCTATGGAGCTCATGGACCTGAAAACCACCATGACTGATGTAGGTACTGAATTTTTATAGTACGTTATTTAATAAATAAGGGCAAGAAATCAAAGTGCTTATTAGGTGCTCACTAGATAAATAATAGTAAACCTAGATTCCATAATGCCTATGGGGCATTATGGAAAACTACTATGTCTGATGGACTGAGTTCTTACCAGTACGTTCCTCGATAAGTAAGGGTATGAGAATGAAGTGATAATTAGTTGCTCATTAGATATTTATAGTAAATCTAGATTCCATAATTCATATGGGGCTTATGGACCCGATAACCACCATGGACCCGATAACCACCATCAAACAAAAAATGTTTGAAATATGTATTTTCCGTTAACTATCTATCGCACCCCTACGAACGATAATCCTCAGAAATCGAAACTTGTGCGAGCTAAGAACTAACGAGGTCTTACCTTTTAACGTGTGATTCCTAACACGGGTTGGACGATAGCATCGACTCACATATCGGCCGATTGACTGAGTGAACAAAGCATCCACGTCGAACCGCCCGGCTACCAACCGGTAGGTCGGGTGCTCATGGTGGTTTTCAGGTCCATGAACCCCATAGGCATTAAAGAATCTAGTTTTACTATGCATATCTAGTGAGCACTTAATTAGCACTTATTTTTGATTGTCTAAGTATTAGTTTACGGGTATCTCAAGACTTTATTGCATATTGTTATTTTTTTTCTCAAATCAGGTATTTCGATTTTTTTTTTCGGTTATTCGCGGTCGTTTTCATTTTAATTTCTTGCAAGCACCTATTTAGCCCTCTATTACTATGCTTAGTTCATACCTGATATAGCATCCTCGTTTTCGAGAGACCTGATTCTTAGATCTCTTGTTTAGCGAAATTGGAAGCTTTTGTTTATTAATTAGAAAATTTCGCGATCCTCACCGTTCAGCACTTAATTAGCACCTAATAGTGTTCCCTTAACATTCATAATTTTATTATTATTTTCGTTGCGTATTGAGTATTGAGTTGTGATGTAAGTTACAGAGCACATAATTTTTGACTTCGGTACCTAAAAAGTACCTGATTTTGACATTTTCTAAATGCGATTTCCGTACTT